TTCTCCCCCAGCTATGGGTTAATCAGTAGGACTTGTATCTCCCAAAATTCTTAGTATTATCTCATTATTATTATTATTCTCAATATTATCTCCCAAAATTCTTACAATCTAAAAAAAAAAAATTCTGGTTTTAATTAACCTGCAAAAGGTTGATAAACCGTAAAAAAAACGAGTCGCTTAATCAACCATCACCTAATTACAATTTAAACCAGTGGTTCCCAGCCGATTTTGGGCCATGCCCCATTTTTTTTTATTTCTAAAATTCTGGTGCCCACCCCTTTGGAATGCTCACATGCACTGATTGGCCAATAAAACATGGGTTCTTCCAGCAATATGCATCACGCCCTCTTGTTGACCAAGACACGCGAGTGTTGGGAGACGGGAAATACCATCTATGCCAATTCCACGTGTACGTACATACACACAAAATATTTTTATGTATGCATACTATACGTATGTATTAATTTGCATTAACATTAACACTTTCACTCAGATTCACTAGAAAACAATTTACTGTTAATAATTCATTCTGGAATTGCCCTCTTATTTATTCTGTTGGTATCGTAAGCCGAAGGCTGCAAATGCTACACATGCCTCACCAAAATATTACTATATTACTTTGTTTTAACATCTAAATCAATGATTCCCCACGTTGGGAATCATTGATTTAGATGTTAAAACAAAGCCTGCGTTAAATTTTAGGTAGTATCAATATGTTTTATTGAAGTTATTTGGTGTATTCTAAAAAACCGTCGTCTGAATCATATTTTCCTTCAATAAAAATCTAATAAAATCATCAAATTGATCAACACTTATAATAGAACAAATCATAAACACGTATAAGTCATTAAATCCTTTACATTTTAATATAATGACCCTTCTTCTCAATAATATCCAGTAATCTATTAACCATTGATTTTGTTTTTTTTTTTTTTTACTTCAGCAGGTTCAGTTTCCGACATGGTAGTTTAAATTGCTTCTCATAAGTCTGCTTGCTGTTATATTGTTTGCCACCATATAATTTCATCTTCACAATCGACCATAGATTTTCGATCGGGTTCAGATCAGGACTTCATTGTGGCCATTCCATTATCTTCTCTTCTGTAAAACTTTTATACTCAAATAATTCACGGGTAAGCTTAGCTAAATAGCGCATAGATACACATCTAACTTTTAAACTGTGAGACCTGGACTTGTACCATTGCAAAGAAAGTCTTGTTCATAAACTCGCAATATTTAGCACTGTTCATCAAAATATTACCATTAAATTTAGCTCACCAAAATATTACCATTAAATTTAGCTCACCAAAATATTACCACTAAATTTAGCTCACCAAAATATTACCATGCCCACCGATTTTTAGCTGTTTGTTTAGGGGAAGACAACTCTGAATCTAAAACTGAGATAGTCTGAATCGATGGAACAAAGGAATGTCGTTCTTCCGAATATAAAAAAAAATATCACTTCACTCTATAAAAATGTCTTTTAAACTATTTACATTATTTGGACTATTGCCCTTATCTTTGTTGCCATATTTGTTACAATGTTTCGGCCGTTATACGCTCCGGCCTTCTTCAGGTGGTCGGAAGGTCGGCCTGAACCCTTTATTTCGCTCACTGGGGTAGACTGTTCTAGTTCCACGTGCCACATGGATAAAGGCGTTGGTTAGATCCAGTGACAGGACCCAAAGAGTGTGAGTTCAATACCCGGTAAAGGCAGTGGAGAACTTGGTGAGGGGAATTAACAGGAGATAACTGATAACTGACATCCATTAAAAACATGACACGGAGGGGAAGGACTCTGTTGAAACCCAACCTTTTAAATTTGATTTGTTTATTGAAACTCGCGTTAAAACTATTGCACTATATATATATATATATATATATACTAGCAGTAGAGCCCGGCGTTGCCCGGGGATGTAACAGTAAGAGACAGATCAAGTATCGACCATCATAAAGACTGAAAAATAAAATTGACAAAGATTATTGTTTAAGGTTGACGGACACGCATGTCTTAATTAGTTTTTTTTTCTTTTTTTTACGAATTGGTTAAACCCAAACTCAAACAAAAACATTGTTTTCAATCGTTATGAGTCTACCGATTGAATAAAATTTTATTATCAACAATTGTCTTGTAAATGAAATTTTTAAAGCATTCTGAATGTAAAAATAAAGAAAAAAGTGTGCAAGACAATAAGAAACACTACCTACCAAAAAAAAGTGAAGTTTTGTTGAAATCGGTTGAAAAATGTAGGAAATCCGATCCCATATATAAACGAACACACACACACACACGCACGCACAAACACAAACAACCAACATGGGTTTTATAATAAGTATAACTTGATATGAGTTGTCGCACTTTAATTAATGCCTCTTAATCGTATTTTCAAATTGATTTTGTGCAAAAACAATTGTGTTTTTCCAATTTTTGGCGCTGTCAGAACCACCGCAAGGTAATTTTACGCAGTCCTGTGAAGTTTTGTTGAAATCGGTTGAAAAATGTAGGAAATCCGATCCAATATATAAACGTACAGACACACACACACACACACACACAATCTGCGTTTTATAATAAGTAAGATTAAATCTCATTATATCTAAATTGTTTTATAATACAGCGTAACCCGGATATAAGAGAGTTGTCTTGACCGGAGAAGAAGTCTCTTATATCCAGGTTTCTCTTATATCCGGGTTTGGTCTATTTTGTTTAGGTAAGTATGGGCTCTAATTTGGGACCAGAGAAAATCTCTCATATCCGGGTTTCTCTTATATCCGGGTCTCTTATATCAGGGTTACACTGTAGTACAACTTCCCTTTGAAGTAAATGATGATCTTATTTGGTGCCCCAATAATTTAATAATAATGTGCTTATCCAAATATAATTTACGCTCCGGCATTCTTCAGGTGTTTGGAATGTCGGACTGAACCCTTTATTTCGCTCACTGGGGTAGTCTGTTTTAGTTCCACATGCCATGTTTAATGGATGTCAGTTCTCAGTTATCTCCTGTTAATTCCACTCTCTAAGTTCTCCACTGCCTTAAATGGGTATTGAATTCACACTCTTCGGGTCCTGTCACTGGATCTAACCAACGACATTCCAACCACCTGAAGAACGTTGTAATAAATATGGCGACAAAGATGAGGACAATAGTCCGAATAATGTAAATAGTGTACATAATACCTCATCTCAGAAATATAGACAGATACTGAATGTTTTGAAATGTTGTAATAAATATGGCGACAAAGATGAGGACAATAGTCCGAATAATGTGAATAGTGTACCTAATATCTCATCTCAGAAGTATTGATAGATACTGAAGGGCCGAAATGTTGTAATAAATATGGCGACAAAGATGAGGACAATAGTCCGATTAATGTGAATAGTGTACATAATATCTCATCTCAGAAATATAGACAGATACTGAAGGGCCGAAATGTTGTAATAAATATGGCGACAAAGATGGGGACAATAGTCCGAATAATGTAAATAGTGTTATAATACCTCATCTTAGAAATATGAACAGATACTGAAGGGCCGAAACGTTGTAATAAATATGGCGACAAAGGTGAGGACAATAGTCCGAATAATGTGAATGGTGTTCATAATATCTCATCTCAGAAATATAGACAGATACTGAAAGGCCGAAATGTTGTAATAAATATGGCGACAAAGATGGGGACAATAGTCCGAATAATGTAAATAGTGTACATATAATACCTCATCTCAGAAATATAGACAGATACTAAAGTGTCATTTTGGAAACTACTTAAGCTAGAAGAGACGATCTTTTCTCTAATTTAGGGAGACGCCACCTTTGTCTCCCGAGCCGAAGTAGGTTGAAATTTCATTTTATTGCTGAGACAATTTGAGGTCATGTGAAATAGGAAATGTCTAAACAAACGAAGGTGCCGTATATAGGTTAATTCGAATAAATGTTCTCAGGTGTGGGAATTGTGTCAGTTGTAAAAGTTTGTCCATTTAACCAGCCTCATTCACCTCCCTTATAGGTAAAAATTAAAAACCAATTTCTGTTGGATAACTGAATAACAATATAGAAAAAAATTTCCAAGTTATGAATATTTTTTGGACACAAAAATATGGAGTATCAAAAGGGCAGTTTTTCCATTGAAACCCATATTATTTCAGTTACCTTCACTCTTCAGCAATGTTTGTTATTTTAAAAAGCAACGATTGGAATAAAACCTAAAAGTATGGAAGTAAATTTATACATTTATTCTTTTTTCTTGAGAATTGACAACAAAAATAAAAAAAAAACACGATTTATTTATTATATTGTTTATTGGAACGGTTGGCAAAATATAATAATTAGCAATCGATTCGAACTTTATAAAATGGTAAATGATAAGGATTTCCTTTTATTTGGAATGGCATATTTCAATCATTTATAAATGTTTATAAATTTATGAATAAATAATGAAATAAAAATTGTTTTCATATTTATTTTTTTATAAATTAGTAAATGATAAATATGGCATATTCTATTAGTTTTAATATATTAATACATAATTTTTATATTCATATGTTATAATTATATATTATATATTATATATTATAATATATAATATTATATATTTTAAATAGTTTAAATATTAAATATTATATATAATATTATGTATAATGTTATTATATATTATATGTATTATATATATAATATATTATATATAATATAAAAAATATATATTAATAAATATAATTATAATTAATAAATATTATGTATAAATATATATTATATATAATATTATATATTATATAATATTATATTATATATAATATTAAATATTTTTATATAATTTTATAATATAATTATATATTATAAAATATAATTATATATTATAATATACTAATTATATTAATATATCAATATATTTAATGTATTAGTTTTTATTTCATACAGCTGTATTAGATTTTTTTATTCCGTGAAATTTTGCAGGTCGTTATTTTTGAAATTTTTAAAGTATATTACATTGCAGTAGAAATGGTTTTGAAAAAGAAAAAAAAGATTGAGCTTTGTGTTCTCCAGGATGGTTTTTGAATTCAAAGTTTTTCCTTTCCTAGACCGGTTTTATCACTGGAAATATCTGACCTGCCAATTTACCCAAAATAATATGAACCAAGAAGAAGAATTTTATTCATATTTTATTAAAAGAAATTTTTACGTAATATAATGGATCCGACTGTAATTCCATTATATTCACTTACGTTCTAATACCCTATATAAAGTTTTTAGAATGTTCTAAATTCTTGTATATGAACAATCTAATAGTGTTTAATGTTTTTGTTGTAAATTCTCAAGAACAAATACAAAATATGCATCAATTCATTTTATCAAATGTTTAGGTTTTATAACAATTCTAATAATCGCTTTTTAAAACAACAAACATTGCCGGTGAGTGAAGGTAATTAATGAAAAAACGGTGTCATGGGAAAAACTGTCCTTTTCACACTTTTCTTTTTATTGCGGGCACAAAGATCCATGTTTACTAAAACATTAATGTTACATCATCAGAATAAAATAATGTTGGTTATTGACGGAATATATAAGTAAGCAAATATATATATATATATACATATTTTATATATTTTAGAGCCGGTGTTGCCTGGTGATGTAACAATAAGAGATAGATCAAGTATCGACCAGCATAAAGACTGAAAATAAAATTGACAAAGACTATTGTTTAAGGTTGACGGACACGCATGTCTTAATTTTTTTTTTTTTTTTTTTTTACGAATTGGTCAAACCCAAACTCAAACAAAAAACATTGTCTATCGATTGAATAGTATTTTATTATAAACAATTGTCTTGTAAATAATAAATTTTAAAGCATTCTGAATGTAAAATAAAAAAAAAAATTGTGCAAGACAATATAAAACACTGTTTTGTAAAAAAAAAAAAAATTGGTTTTTTGTTGAAATTTATATAAAAATGTAGGAAATCCGATCCCATATAAACGAACACACACACACACACACACACACACACACACACACACACACACACACACACAACCAACCAACCAACCTGGGTTTTATAATAAGTATAACTCGAAGTGAGTTGTCCCCCTTTCATTAATGCCTCTTAATCGTGTTTTCAAATTGAGGGAAAAAATAAAAACAATTGTTTTTGTTTTTCCAATTTTTGGTGCTGTTAGAACCACCGCAAGTTAATTTTACGTAGTCCTGTGAAGTTTTGTTGAAATCTGTTGAAAAATAAAGGAAATTTTATCCAATATATAAACGAACAGACACACACACACAATCTGCGTTTTATAATAAGTAAGATATATTGTCATCCATCAATATGGCTAGAAAAAGAAGAAAAACCTCTAGCTAGGATCGAAACCTGGCTGAACTGAGTTGATTCATCAATGTTAAAATTTAATAAAATGTTTAGAAATATTATTAAAACATTTATTTTTTATTCTAATTCTCTCAAATTCACGGATCAATTTGTTAGTGATGTTTCAAAACTGATTAACAAAGACATCATAGTTTGGGATATTTCTTTTATTTTCCGGAGTACTTTCAATCTCATCTAAGATCATCATCAAGGATGAATTGCTAAGAAAAAAAAATTCATGTAATTAATAATTGTAATATTTTTGTAAATGCGCATGAAATGTGCTCTGTTATAGTTTGTTTATTAAAAATTAATTGTTAACAATATCTAAGGAAGGTAACTTAATTTATATTTTTATTATTATTTTAAAATACTCAACCTGCAATTTAAAAAAAATAATTCAGAACTATCAATTACATTAACTTTTTGTCTTGGTAAATCACCCCTGAAGATTATCTTGTTTGAAACAAAAAGTATTTATGGGAAAATAAAAGAAATAGCCAAAACTTTTTGGTTCAGTTTTTCTTAATTCAGTTTTGTAACAAATTAAGAAATTGATCCATGAAATAAGAGAATTAAAAAAAAATAAAATAATGTAAATATATGTTCAGATTATTCAACATAAAAGTGCTTGATTGGGAAATAGGTTTGGCTTATAAATACATTATAACATACATACATATATATATATATATATATATTATATATATATATATATATATATATTAAATAAAAACAGATATTTGAAGGTTCCATGTAATAAATTATTTCACCACAGACCTTTAAAAGCACTAACGGATCATCAGACTTTCTTCCAAAAATTGAAACAAAATATGAAAAGAAATTTACACATTTATTGAATTTGTATTAAACATATGTAAATTAAAATAATTTATTAGATGGAATTTATTTTAAAATGTTCTGTTTTTATTTAAATTATTTGCTCTGGATTTACATTGAGTTTCTGGATTTTATCCTCCTTGGTTTATAAAAATATAAACGGATTATAAATTATAAAAAAATAAATTATATTTTTTATATATATATATATATATATATATATATATATATATATATAATAAAAAAAAAATTGTTACCTAATAATATGCATACTTATACTTGATGTGAAAATAATTCTACATACTGTAAGGGATTCTAATACATTTATTTGTTCTTAAAAGAAATATAGTATATTAAAAATTAAAAATGAAAATATTTTTCAAATCGTAGTTAAATAAAACGTATTCTAACCTAAACACCCCAAAAAATCTTTAAATATACAAATAGAAAAAATGCCGTAAGAATTTTTGCCGTTAACAATAAAATTAAAAAAAAACCAGACGACATGCATTTAACGGATGTCAGATTTCATTGAAAAATACATCCCTACCCCCTACCAAAACGTAACTAATAACTGATACATCAAAATACAGACATAATGAACACGCAGACACCCCTTGTCTAGAAAAATGGATTTATCTGTAACCTTGGAAACGTGAATTATGATTTTTGCTGTGTCTTTAAAACCCAGTAATTTAAAAAAAAGTTACTCCAAAATTCGCTTGAGGATGAAATGGAACTAATGTCTTTAATTTAATTACAAAATTAAATTCGGAGCTTTTAGCTTCCATTTTTGAAACATGGTTAGAACTGTGTAGCGAAAAAAAATATTTTAAATCAATTAATTTATAATATATATATATATATATATATATATATATATATATATATATATCTATATATATATATTGATATATGAACGTTATCAGTTGAATTTTAAAAAATTTTTTTGATATCTGATTCTATATATATCAGTTATATATTACACCAGGTTTGCACATCCATGTGGCACCCCCATAAAAAAAAAAAACCAAAAAATAAAATGAAATGTTTATATCTACCGAACTGCTTTAATTCCGACAATTTCGCTTACACTGTTTTCTAATGGTAGGCATATATACCTCTCAAAAAGAAGTAACGTCCGCGTAGAGGAGACTCAAATAAAAAGTGACTTGACCTACGTTGATCAGGTAGCGTTGCTAGTATATATTGTCCCAGTTCTGTTTAAGCACCGAGAATTTGATAACGTCAGCAAGCTTCAGGTAGCAGACATTCCGGTGCCTAAATTGGTGTTTGATGACTTTGGGATCAATTACGCAAATTAATGAGAAAATGAGTCCCTGACTTGATCCCGAGAGTGTTTCAATTATTTCCCAACTGCAAGGATTACTCTCACGCCCAACGTCAATCTAAGGGTTTGTATTCAAATCAATAATGAGACAGAAAGTTACATATATACATATATATATATATGTGTGTAGGTGTGTGTGTGATGGTATAGACTTTCGGCAATCCCAAATTGGCTATGGCGTAACACAATCTTCTGTTTATGCAGCATAATTTATGTTGTAATTAAGAGAATCTATTGCCAGGTAAAGAAATGACATTACATAATTTTCATCTTATTTTTCATTTTAATGTGCCTATCGCATATATATACAAATATATCTGGTTGAGTTTTACACATCATTTATCTATCTAATATCTATCTATCTATCTATCTATCTAAAAAATCTATCTATCAGTCTTCAAATATATCTCAGTAAATCTATATTCTATTCTTTATCTATCTATCTAATATCTATCTATCTATAGAAAAAATAATCTATCTATCTATCTATATATTTTAATTTATCTATCTATCTATATATATATATATATATTATATATATATATATTTATCTATCTATCTATCTATCTAAGTCTTTATTCATATCTATCTAAGTCTTTATTCATATCTATCTATCTATCTATCTCTTCAAATCTATCTCAATTTATTCATATCTAAGTCTTTATTCATATCTATCTATCTATCTATCTATCTATCTATCTATCTATCTATCTAGGTTAATATCATTTTCTTAATCTGTCACCTTCTGTCATACGAGCTATCTCTTTCTTCTTTCTTTCTCTTTCTCTATCTACATAGAATTAATACAAGTAAAAATTTGGTCACTTAGTTGATTAGGATCCCGACTTTAGAGATTCGTAGACGGAACCTTCAGCAAACACTCCGTTCACTCGTCAGTGGATATCAGCCATTGACTGTCTATATTTCTCGTCTTTCTTTTATATATGCATTTTTTCATTGTTGTGCGGGTTCAAGCATTATTCGCATCAATAAATTTTATCTATCTATCTATCTATCTATCTATTTCCATGTAAAAAGTTATATTCATTTATCTATGTATATCTATCTATCTATTATTCTATCATCTATCTATTATCTCTGGTTTATTGGTATCTATCTATCTATCTATCTCAGTCTGTTTATATTCATTCAAGATATCTATTCATTCAATAATTTTCAAATCTATCTGGACATTTCAGTCTATCATACCTATCTATCTATATATAACAATATATCTATCTATCTCAGTTTGGAGTTTTATATATGGTTATCTATTTCTATCTTTAAATCTATCTATTATCTATTTTTAATTATTTATTTTCTAAATATCTATTCTATTTATCTATCTAATATTTTAGTCTATCATCCTGAAAATATTCATCTATTATCTATCCATTATCATAAAAATTTCTATAAATCATATCTAGTCTGTTATTCACATCCAAATCTATCTATTATCTATCTATCTATCTATTTATCTATCTATCTCAGTTTTTGGTATTATCTATTCATTTATATTAGGCCATTTCTTAAACCAGTCTGTTTACATTTATCTATCTATCTCAATCTAAGAAAATAATCTATCTCAGTCAGATGTTCATATCTATCTATTTATCTATGAAAATTATTTATCTATCTATTTATTCATATATTCAGATATTATTCCATATATATTATCATCTATTATTCATTTTGACATCATTTATCTATCTTCTATTATCTATTCATTTATCTATCTATTATCTATTCAGTCTGTTTACATATATTATCTATTCATCTATCCATCTATCTAATTATCTATCAGAAAATGGAGTTTATTATATTTCTATCTATCTATCTATCTATCTATCTATCTCAGTTTGTTGGTATCGAATTCTATCAATCTTTATGACAAATCATGAATCATCTATCTATCTATTAAAACTGTTCATGTTTGTTCATTATTCATCTATCTATCTCAGTCTATTTATATATAAAATTATCTATCTATATCTATATATTCATTCATTCATCTATCATATCTATAGTTTTGATGTTAAATGAAGTATTTTAGTAGACAATTACTACTGTGTAGTTGTATGTCTTTTTTTTAGTGTTCCGTTGCCAGTTGCAATCCTTACTTATTTATTTCCCATACTCGTTTTTAAAAAATGACATGTTTTGCTTAGCCAACAATCAATTTGGACCAATGTTTACATGTCTTTAAGAGAAAGGCTGTAAGGTTGTTCCACCTGTGGTCGAAACGCACGAGTCTCTCCCTGTTGCCTCTTATAATTGCGAGCAACGACCCCACACATAAGGCCGGCTCCCTTGTCTTAGGGTAGCGGTATTTTGCGGATACGTTTGTTCAAATAAGCAGGTGGATCGTATATTTTCGTTCCACTTCGTTGATTTGCGGAAAAGAAAAACAGGTCCGACTGAAATTCGCTCTCTACGCGCCTCTGCAATTTTAATCTTGACAGTGTCAACTTGGGCTGTGTTTCGTTCAAGGAGAAAATGGTTTGACGTGACCCTGAAGGTTTTCTTATTAACACTTATACGTTCCGTCTCTATCTCTCATTTTTTTTAAATTTTAGAATTTTTTTTTTAAATAATAAACCGCCGTTCCGTTTCTCTGTACTCAATAGAAATGAAGGAATTTTGTTTCTTTTATTAGAAAATTCAAAATTGAGGTTTTTTTTTAAAAAAAAATTCCTTTTTTTTTTTTTTTATTTAAAAATTCTTTTCTTTAAATTTTCTTTCTTTTAAAATTTACATATTGTTTTTTTTTTTATTTTTTCTTCTGAAAAAAATTTCAAATTCAAATCAATTTTTTCTTCTTTTTTCTTTGTATTTATTTATTCTTTTTTATTTATACAAAAAGGTTTTTCTTTCTTTCTTTTTTTCTTTTGTATTTTCAACTTTTTTCTTTTTTTTTCTTTTTTTTTTTTCTTTGTATTGAATTTTTCTTGGCGGAAAAAATTTTTTTTCCAGAATGATTTTTTTTGAACAATTAAATTTCTTTTCTTTCTTATTTTTTTTGTTTTCTTTATTTGAAATATTTTTTCTTTCTTTTTTTTTTTTTTTTTTTTTTATGAAAAACTTTTTTTTCTTATTAATTATTTATTAATTTTTTTATGAAATAAGTTTCAAACATTTCTTTCTTTTTTTCTTTAAAACAAAAAAAAAATTTTATTTTTTCTTTTTCTCTTTAAAAATTTTTTTTCAATTTTCTATTATATATTTCTTCTCTCTTTTCTCTTTTTTTTAGTTTTTATTTAGATGCAGTCTTTTCAATTCTTTCAATCGTTATTTATTTTTTAAAGATCAAAAATCTTTCTTTCTTTTGAAAAATTTCGAAAGCTGATTCTTTCTTTTTTTCTTTCTTTCTTTCTGTTTTCAAATAAAAATTCTTTTGAAATGATTTTAAAATCCCAAAATCTTCTTTTTTTCTTTAAACATTCTTTTTTTAGAATCTAAAAGAATTTTTTTTCTTTTTATTCTTCTTAATATTTATTTAAATTCTTTCTTCTTTCTATTTTTAATTTTCTTTTCTTTTTTTTTTATCACTTTTGGATTTTTTCTTATTCTTTCTTTTTTTCTAAAAAAAATTTCTTTAATTTTGAAAAAAAATTTCTTTTTTTTTCTTTCTTCAAGAAAAAAACTTAAAACCATTTTTTCTTTTTCTTTTTTTTTTTTTTTTCGTTTCTTAAATTTTTTTTTCGTTTTTTTTTTATTTATTTAATTTTTTTTTAAAGGTTCTTAGATTTCAATTTGTTCTTTTTTTTAAAAAATAATCCTTCCATTCTTCTTTTTTATTCATTTATTTAATTAGACTTTAAATAAAGCTTTCAAACCAAACATTTATCCCTGTCTTTTGTAATAGCGTTCAACCCAAACATCCTTTGGCGTGTATCGAGTTTCGTCTTTCGCTTTTGGCTTCCAATGTCAGTTTTTCCCATCTGCCAAATGTCGTCAACTCCATACGCACGAAGAAAGGAGACAGAGATAAAAAAAATGTAACCATTCTTCCCCCCCACAACTTTTAACTCTTTTTGGTATTCATTCTTAGTATGTCATACGACGTTTGATAAATTGTTTCGAAGTAGTTTTGGATTTTTGAAACGGGCTTGATTTTTCAAGATAGTTTAATGCCAAATAATTTCTTTTTTTTACGCTGGCGCCGCCTTTTTTCAAGTTTTTTGTTCAGTCAAAATTTTATTACATAAAAATTATTTTCATAATTTAAATTTTTTGTTTGTTTAGAATTTGAAAATTCTTATATTTTTTTTCTTTTTTTTCTTTTAAGTCTTATAGACCTAAAGTTCTTTTCGATTTTTTTTCTTTTTTATTTTTTTTTTTTCTAGTCTTATAGACCTAAACATTTTTTTTTTCTTTTTTTTTTATTTATTTCTTTCTTTTATTTTATAGATGAAAAGATATTTCTTTTTTTTTAAATTTCTTTATTTCTTTTTTCAGAAGATTTCTAGTCTTATAGACAGACCTATTTTTAATTTTTTTTTTTTCTTCCTTAATGTTTTTTCTAGTCTTATAGACCTAAAAGATATTTTTTTTTATTTTAGATCTTTTCTTTTTTTTTTCTTTCTTTCTTTTCTTTTTTTAAAGTTTTATAGAAAAAGATCTTTCTTTTTTTTTTCTTTATAGTCTTATAACCTAAAAATTTTTGTTTTTTTTTCTTAGACATTTCTTAAATTTTTCCTTTCTTTCTAGTCTTATAGATATAAAGTTCTTTTCTTAATCATTTTGATAATCTTTTCTAGTTTATATTTCTGTGTTTTTTTTTTTTGAAAAATTTTCAATTTTTTTTTTTTTTATAGTCTTATAGAATTAAAAGATCTTTCTTTTTTTTTTTCATTTTTCTTTCTTTTTTTTTTTCTTTCTTTCTTTCTTTTCTTATCTTATAGATTCAAAGTTTTTTTTCTTTTCTTTTTTTTTTCTTTCTGAAAAAAATTTCTTTTTTAATTCTTTATTAATTCAAAGATCAATTTTTCTTTATTTTTTTTCTTTCTTTTCTTATCTTTCTTTTTTTCTATTAAATAGATGAAAAAATATTCTTTTTTTTTTTTTTTTCTTTTTTTTTTCTTTCTTTCTTATTTCTAGTTTAAATAGTACTAAAAGTTCTTTTTTTCTTTTTAAAATTTCTATAACTTTTTTAGATCTTTCTAGCGTTCAAATCTATATTTCTATTATAAAGTTATATATATTTATTTTTTTATATATATATCTATTAAAGCATGGCCCGGCGTTGCATGTGCTTGATTCAAAAATCGTACGAATCATAAAGCAAAAATTATATCACTTGACTTAAAATCATTTTTGCCCTTCCTTTTCTTTTTTAAAGGAGATTTTTCATAAAATGATGTTTGATGATTTTTGCCTATCTCAATGCGATTTTTTTCGAAGCTCTATACTAAACATTAAATCTGTTACGAAAAAAGAACTAAACAAAATGAACACAAAACGATCAGCTTTAAAAAAGAATTCGTAACTGGAAAAACCGAAAAAAAAAGAATGTTAACAACAAATACTTTTTTCACACCCAACCCAGTTCTGTGGAATCAGAATCAACGTTGAGTTAAGTGTGAATGAGCTAATTGGAGTAAAGTGCCATGCAGATTTAAATTTTTCCCATTTGTGACGAATGCAGCTATCGATTTTTTTTGCATGCTAGCATGCTAGTTAACATTCGTGTCAGTCATCTGTTGGCTCTCACGCTGGCTAATAGAATCTTCCTATATTAATGGCAGCCAGCTATTGGTCTCACTCTGGCCAGTAAAAAATAGCCGAAATACATGAAAACTGCCGTAGAAGCATGAAAAATCGATTATTTCCCTATCGATGGGAGTTGGAAAAATGCAACGTCGGTCTTGGCCTTTATAGAAAAACTTGGAGCATATGCATGCAAATTTTGGTGCAAATCCGTCGAAAATTTTAAGATTAATGTGCATTCGTTAAACACACACACACACACACACACACACACACACACACACACACATCACAAAACACACACACACACATAATGTCCTGCCTAATTTTATAGATAGAGATTTACAATTCTCAAATTACGAATAATGTTTTCAGACAATGAGAAAAATATATCTAAAATTGTATATAAAAATTCCATATAAATGTTGAAATTTGCGCAATAATTTATTATTTTTAAATAAAAAAATAAGGTGCTATTGTTTTTCTGATTTTATTTTATTTCTAAAATTCGTCCTAGTTTTGATGACATCCATATTGCGTCATTTAAGACGATAATAAATATACATCCGACAGATAATTAGGTTTTGAGGTGCGTGGGACATATTTATAATTGCTGGTGTTCATAGGACCAAAAATATATTAATAAATTAAGGTATTTAAGCTATGGGCAAATGGTTAAACCCAAACTGATTTAAAAAAACTAGATAAGTTTTTAAAAATAGGTACTAGCAACACATTTTTTAAAAAAAAATATTATTTATAATACGTATTTTGGAAAAAAAATATACCAGCATATACATTTTTTGAAAAATGTTACCAAATTATTTATCCCATTGAGGCAAATATAGATATACGAACCAAACCAAACCAAACCAAAAAATGTCTTTTCTTATCATATCCTTATGATGATTAATAAAGTTGAAACTTCGGACGATTTTTAGTTTTCTTCCGAAGTGAACTTTGGGTAATTTCTGTAATTGTTGTGAGAAGGATTATTTGTAATGACACAAATATCGATATTAAAATTAATAAAAAATATCTGCCGTTTTTAATAAAAATTTTCATTGAATATAAAGAATTTTGCTGTCATAAATAGAAAAATATATATATATATATATATATATATATATATGAAAGAAAAAAAAGAAAAAAAAAACAAAATCTGAATATGTAATTATGTAGTATTAATGTTAAAATAAAGTCGACGTCGGACGTTTCGGTCTATTTAAGACCATCTTCATGGACATTTTCATTTAAACATAATTAACATTAGAACATATATAAAAATTTAACACAAAAGACGATGGACATAAGAGCACAACTAATCCAAACAGATAACTGAAATTTTTTATAAGATCAGCGTTCTGTTTTAAATATGATCACGTCGTCGTCACGTGGGCGATGTTGTGAAAACGTATTCGAAGATGATTTCCAAAAAATTAAAATATTAAAAAAAGTCGATTGAACTATTTTATATAAACAGTTCAAGAAATCCCTTCCGTTGATATAGGAATACGTAGAGATCAATAGGTTCTTATTTCTTCATACAAGCTTGAAGTCCTTCACGTTACAAAGCAAATCAAAAATGATTTAAAAACGATGGAACAGTTCTAAAAAAAAACAGTTCGATAATAAATCCTTTCCTTACTTGATCAATAGATTCTTATATTCTCGTCCAAGCTTGAGGTCTTCCATGTTATAAAGTAAATTCAGGTTTGTATTTCCAGTAGACAGTATGTAAGCAAATATATGGATATAAATCCGACAGTATATATAAAGAAAAAAATACAGAAAAAAAAAACAAAAATCTGAATATGCAATTATGTAGTATTAATGTTAAAATAAAGTCGACGTCGGACGTTTTTTCGGTCTTATTTAAGACCATCTTCATGGACATTTTCATTTAAACATAATTAACATTATAACTTATAAAAATTTAACACAAAAGACGATGGATTATAAGAGTTTTCATAGATAACTAATTTAAACAGATAACTGAAATTTTATAAAAATCAAACCGTTCTGTTTAAATATGATCAATTATAGTCGTAAATGTGGGCGATGTAATTAAAATAAAACGTATTCGAAGACCAATAAATTAAAATAGATAAATGTGTGATTGAAAATATATATATATATATATATAAATGAACGTATATATGTGTATATATATATATATATATATATATATATATATATATATAAAAATAAAAATCGTATAATATTAAATAAAAATATTAATCCAAAAAAATATGTTTGTAAAAAAAATAAAAATTTAAAAATAAATTAAACATAAAATTAATTTGGAAAATTTTTTAGACAAATAAATTAAAATCAAACATCAAAATCTATTTTTTTTTTAACGTAAAATACAAATAATTGTTCAAAAAACCCATATTTATATATATATATATATATATATATATATATATATATATATTATAAATAAATTCTGATCATTTTAAATATTTTCAGTTATCTGTTTTGGATAAGAAATTTGTTTAGGTCCATCGTCTTGGAAAATCCCCAAACTGAATTGTATTTTAATGAATATTGTCTTAAAGATTATTTATTTTTTAGAAACGTTTCGTTAAATTACAAATTTCAAAATATTTAAAAACTTTAAAAGGGCATTTATGATTTAAATTTTTTTAAAAATATAATTGGTCTGTTTTTTTTAATATATATATATATATATATATATATATATATATATATATATAAAATAAAAATATTTCAAGCAATAATTATATATATATAAAAGAAAATGTTTAATATCTAAAATATTAAAAAAAATGAATTTTTTTTTGGCATAGAATTGAAAATGTTTAAACATTTGATATCTGAATCAAATTGAATAACAAAAAGATAGATTGAAATATAAATTTAAATTTTTTGTGTAATTGTATGGGAATTAAATAAAAAAAAAATTTTGAAAAAAAATCAGCCTTATAAAAAAAATATATTATCATAATAAATATATATATATATTTATCCATTCAAAAAAATGATGAAGAGAACAAATTTAATAATTTAAAAATTAATAGTAGAGAAATCTCGATCAAATATAGTAATATTGAGATAATATATTTTCAATTTTACATAAAGAAAAAAAAAATAGGCAATAAAAAAATCAAAAATCATATATAGAAGATGATGTTTATATATAACAAAATTTAGATATATAAAAAACAGAAAATGGAATTTGTAACAGGAAACGTCTAAAGACAATGTTACTCTTAAGAGAAAAATAGTAAAGAAGAACAGCGAAAATCATCTTAAATGAGTTGGATAAATGATATAGAATATATATATATATATATATATATATATATATATATATATATATATATATGGGCATATTTCATTAAATAATAATAATGGACAAGTTAATCACATTATCGTTGAAAAACGAAAGGAAATATATATTGATGATATGTTTAAATGCAATCTAATTTGAATTTTTTCAAATAATCATTTATAATAATGGCAAAAAATAAACAAATATATATTTAAAACAACAATGATAGTAAAATTTTTTTTAAAAAAAAAAAAAAAAACGGATTCCCATACTTAATAAAGGGGCGTCCGGCGGCGTAATATTGTCCATCAGGGCTTCAAAAATAATATTTTAAATAGCATATTCTCTATATATATCTCAGTTTAATCGTTAGGCCCTTTTGAAAAAAGAAAATATATATATATAAATTTATTTTAAATTTAAAATATATATGCAATATATATATATATATATATATATATATATATATATATATATATATATTTATACACATCAACACACACGTTCTGTCAACATTCGTTTAGTCCTGGATATATATATATATATATATATATATATATATATATATATATATATATATATATATATTATAATGGTTAATTTGAAAAATTTTTTTAAAAAAAACTTTATTATTTTTATTAACAATTTCAAATGAAAATGTCATTTTTTGTATTTTTTTAAATTTTCAATGTTGAAATTATTTCATTTCAGATAGATCATTGTTAGATTTTATTTCATAACCAATTTGACTAAAATGACTTCCATTTTTGATTTAACTTCAAACGCGACAGTTTCCTAAATTAATCAAAGAAAGAATGAAAAATACTATATTTTGATACATTGATAGAAAAAATTCTTTATTAAGAATTATTTTTTTTTAAATTATTAAAATGATTAGAAATGTTAGCTCAACATATTAAACTAATGTTATGGGCAATATAATAAAATATCTCTATTTGAAAAAAAAAAGAAATCATAATTAACGACAAATTTTTTCATATTTTTATTTATTTTTATTTTAAAATGAATATTTT